TCGATAGGGCCGCGCGGGGGCGGTCCTGTGACTGAGGCCCCGCCCACCGCGGCGGGGAGGGAAGATGGCTATCGTCGTCGGCACGCAATAGCCTCAGCCCGCAGGGTTGTAACTCCTCCCTTGCCTTACCTTTCCCTCCCTCCCTTCCGCTGCTGCTGCTTAATTAAGTAACGGTAAATATATTTTTTTAATTTGTGGTGACTAACAACTACCTAGAGAAGAGGGCAAGAAGGGAGTGCTCTGAGCTGGGCCCTTCCAGTGGCCTGAGCAGGCCCCTGCAGCTCAGCCTGGGGTAAAATGGCTAATCTTCCATCTTCCTCCTGCCCATGCACACCTTAATGCCTTATGAAAATGCAAAGGAATTAAGACTTTGATCCATGAACAGGGGCAGATTCAAGTCAAGCAGGAGAAGCAGCTGATTCTCCTCAGCAGTGGCTTCCACCGTTGCTTCGATGTCCACATTTCCATAGTCGGTGTCAGTCTACACCGGTCTCGAAGCTGCAACTAGCCAGGGGCCTGTTGCTAGGATGGCAATGTCTGGTGGAGAAACAGAAGTTTCGAACTATTTCACTCATTTGGCTGAATTTCTCAAATGGTTACCAAGAAAAGAGTTCACAAAGCCTGCACAGCAATTTTTCAGTGTAGATACACATTGCAAATCTCTTTTGCCCAGTCATTGCCTCAAATGACCGGGCTGTTTTTCCTTTCCTATAGGACTGCTACTCATCTGCTCAACAGCTGCAACACCCTCAGCAAGCGGAACAGGGGATACTGCATCAAACAAGTGCCCAGAATGGCCCTTTCTCAGCTTCAGTCCATTTATCTACCTAGAGAGTGACCTTCCAGCCATAAAGATTCTGCATTTGGCTATAAGTGATCCAAGGAGACAGAAGAACTTTCCGCTTCCCCATCTTCCATGAGGACAGAAGTCCATTGCAGGTCCTGACTACCATGCAATTTGTTATCTTCTGTCGTGCGTGCTGCTTTGTGTCTTCAGTTATTTGAGGGAAAAACATTAACTACTGCTTTAGCTTTTCTGAGTTATTGTTTAATGCATCCATATGTAAAATGTTCAGTTTCAGAATATGAATTACAAAATAATCCTCTGGGGAATGTTAGCCTGTCAGCGTTATTTGTAGCACATTGTTCAAACTTGTCTCTTTTGGAAGAGACAGTTTACCAATAATTAGGCTAAGCTTTACTTGATACCAAGTTCAGAACAGGCAACTTAATAAAGAGCAATAAAAATGTATATGCACTTCATGAAAATGTTGTAAGAGTTCAAGACTTGGAACACTTGCTGTTCTGAAGTCCTGGGGCTCAGCAGTTTTTATCTGCAGCGACAACATATGTAATATCCCTTGATGTAAGAGATTTTGTAGTTTCTTCTAAGACCATACATCTTTAGAAAGGGAGGAAAAATTTACATTAAGCAAAAGGTGTATATTAGTATAGCTACAATATTTATTTTTTATTACTTTGTAGGAATAATCAAGGCCCAGCCATATAAGACGTTGGCATGGAGTGGCTCATACTGACTTTTTGTTCCTAATCTCTCTAATAAATATTGCTATTTTAGTATCATTGATATAAATAATTTTATGGAATCAATGCAGATTGTTTTATTCAGTTCACATGGTGTTTTTGTTCAATCAATTTTCAGTGTAAAATTCACTGGTTCTAAGAGTATCAAAATCTTCCTTCTAGGTACAAAAGTAATTTACATTTGCATTTTTATACGAAGTAAAACAACTAGTGATGAAAGATCTATTTTTAAAACAGTATTTATAAATCAAAGGAAGTGTCAAGACTTCAATAAAAACAAACGTTCAGTATCATGTTGTACTGATAATAAAAAACACTGAGTAGAAAACAATTAAAAAAACCTTAGCACTTCAGAGCTTTCAAGCACACTTTAAGCACCTATTAACATTCACACATCGCCCCAGGCACTGGTAGCTGCCCCTATTTGAAAGAGGTAAGAATGAGACAAAGGAAGAGAACACAGTGATTTAACCATGGTCACGGAGATTAATCTTCAAGTCAGTGTTAGATTTTGGAAGTTCCTGACTCGCTTTCCATGCTTAAACCACAGTCCTTTTTTGGGGGGTGGGAGTAGGAGGAAGCAAAGGGGAACAGGGCAGGTTTCCCAGGCTTTCTCTTTTGAGGAACCCAATTTTTACAATGACTGTTCTGATTGAAAGAGTTTGGTTCCAGCTTTTGCCTGGATACCCTTCTAGCTTCTCTTCACACCTGCTATCAGCTCTTCTGTTTTCCAGCTGCACACTTTGAAGAAGGGTTCCATGTGGAAAGCGAAGTCAGAAATAAAAGCTTACTGAATATAAACTTTTCCCACATCTGACAACCGCTTTTAAGAGTGTAAATTGTCATGGCAGCAAAGTGCTACTCACAGCTAGGATTTTTCCACTATTTCAACCTCTTTAACAGGTAATTAGAAAAAGGGTCAGACAGAAAAGTTTCATACAGTTGGGCAGCCTGTAACAGTGAGTGAGATGGCATGTGTGATGTCAGGGAGATTACAGTTTAGGAGGATAAGACAAAAGCTGACAAGAAAAACAGAAATTTAAAACGTTTTATATTTAACATTTCTAATAAACATTTCACAGTCTAAAATGAATGCAATTTAAAAAAAAAGTCCTACCCATTGCTACCCACCTGATAGTAATCATATTAATACTAGGGAGATAATAATAGAATCATAGAACCATTGAATCGTTTGGGTTGGAAGGGACCTTTAAAGGTAATCTAGTCCAACCCCCCTGCAATGAGCAGGGACATCTTCAACTAGATCAGGTTGCTCAGAGCCCTGTCCAACCTGACCTGGAATGTTGCCAGGGATGGGGCATCTACCACCTCTCTGGGCAACCTGTGCCAGGGTTTCACCACCCTCATTGGGAAACATTTCTTCCTTTTATCTATTCGAAATCTACCCTCTTTTAGTTTAAATGGTTTAAAACCATTACCCCTTGTCCTATTGCAAGAGGCCCTGATAAAAAGTCTGTCCCCATCTTTCTTATAGGCCCCCTTTAAGTGCTGGAAGGCTGCAAGAAGGTCTCCCCAGAGCCTTCTCTTCTCCAGGCTCAACAACCCCAACTCTCAGCCTGTCTTCACAGGAGAGGTGTTCCATCCCTCCGATCATTTTGGTGTCCCTGCTCTGGACCTACTCCAACAGGTCCATGTCTTTCCTGTGCTGAGGGCTCCAGAGCTGGACGCAAGATTCCAGGTGAGGTCTCACCAGAGGGCAGCAGAAGGGCAAAATCCCCTCCCTCAACCTGCTGCTAGCCATGCTGCTTTGGATTCAGGCCAGGATACGGTAATTCACGTTCTTGCATCCAGGACAATTTTAGTACTGGTACAGGTTGCCCAGAGAGGTGGTAGATGCCCCATCTCTGGAAACATTCAAGGTCAGGTTGGATGTGGCTTTCAGTAACCTGATCTAGTTGAAGCGGGGCTGGACTAAATGACCTTTAAAGGTCCCTTCCAACCCAAATGATTCTATGATTCTATAGTAAGTCGCTGTGGTCTACACAAATAAAAAGGGATATTATAATGCTGTTCTATACGAATCCTGTGTTCCACGGTTTTCAAGAAGATTCATGCTTTAAAAGTCTTTGCACTTCTACCATTAAATAACTGTACAGCGCATATAAAAAGACTGTTTGGATTATCACTTGTGGGAAAAGTGAGTATATCATACTACTGTAACTAAAACCTTGCATCAGGTTAAGTTACTTGATGTACCTTATACGTAAAAAAAGTAATTTTTAAAAGTAGTGTCCATATGTCATGGCAATGTTTCAAGTTCCTTTAACTCTGGTTACAAATGTTCATTTGAGACCTTATAGAATTCTTTAAGCTTGTCAAACTTTGACCCCCACTCTTGGAGGCAATCATAATTTAGGTCTTCATCACCACTAATGGAGTCTAAGGAACTAAGGCTCCCTGCTAAAGAGCATTGCCCTTCTAAGCAGTAAAAGTGAATAGTGTCAGCTGGAAGACTCTGTAGATCATGGTCTGCATCCCAGATGATTTGAGAAACATATTTCTTGAAGTCTGGGACACTGGTAACTGCAGATGTTGATTGTTTCTGATGTGCATGTTTTGGGAATGAGTCTCTTTTGGGGCCAGTGGGTGTCCTGGAGCGTGGAGCAGCTGCCCTCAAGGAGAAGTGGGGAATGGTATGGAGAGGTTTCTTCAGTTCATGTATATCATAAGCATTCTGGAAAAAAAAAGAATGGAAATATCAGAGAGAAACAACACAAAAGGAAACAGGTTCCAAAAAATGTTTTAAAACTCAGTGCAACACAAAACTGGATTCTGTGAGTTTTTTACAAACTGAAGAGAGGGCCTAGTTCAGAGGGCTAAGTTCAGATCATACCAAATTCTTTTATGTAATGATAGTCTTCACCTCAAGCAAGAATGCTGAGTCCAGAGCAGCCCCTTCAAAGGTGGCCTCAGATGACCAGCAGCATGAAAGGTACTGGTTGAAGACTGGATTGAAATAGAATACTCCCATTCAAGAGTATTTCAGGTTATAAAAAAAAAAGCCAACTGGATAAGAACAGTAAGTTAAACAAAAAGTCTGGGCTGGAAAGATAAGGAGAGGTTGGATTTGCAAAGACTGGATTGAAGCTGCATCATACCTGGTCACGTTCTCCACCTCCTTCTTCATTATAATTAAAGACATTTTCTCTAACATCCTCCCAGCTTTCACGCTCTTCAGGAATATGGTAAATTCCTCCTTTCCGAAACCCTGAACTTCCCCACTGACTCCACACCGTGTAGGAGACCAAGAGTGCTGGAAGAAAAAAAGACACGTATTATATGACATATGACACAGTATGATGCATGATAAACAAGTAGTTATACGACACCTGAGATATTACATTGACTCTTAATTTGACAATCAAATGCCCAGGTAAGAGATGCGTAATTGTTAATATATAAACAACTTATATTCAGGAATTTAAAGAATCAGCTATGTATATTACATCATAAACCTCATTAAAAGGGTATTTTACTTACCTAAAGGAATCCATTTAAATAGAAGGCATTTTGGCCAATCTCTGGCCTTTCACCAATCCTGAGTAAATAAGATACCCAAAGTAAGTAAAACACTGTTTTAATGAAGGTTACAAGTGTAATATAATCATGGAATCTTTACTATTCTGAGATGTGTATGCAGTTTTTCTTTATCAATATGAGAAACAGTTTTATGGTGTTATTAACTTTTCAGCCAAAGTGTGCCTGAAACTGGACACGCTGTGAACATTTCTTTCTGCCCTACCCTCTTAATGAGGCTTGCCTATTAAAATCATAAACTTTCTAGGGAAAGCTCTCTGCCTTCCTATTATGTGAATAGCACATACCAGGTGTAGGTCCTACCTAATACAAATGTAGGGGCTCAGTGCAGGTGGGAGTTTCAGATGGATGTGGTTGCACACATAGATGGGAAGCTCTTATTTAAGAAGGATTGAAAATAAATTATTCTTAAAGACAGAAGTCCTAAATTTGCTTGAACTGTCTTCAGAGCAAGTAAACTGTAACTATGTGCTGATGCCTGTCTCTTAGCATCCTCAAATGAACTCTCAACTGCTGATCTCCAGAAAAATGTGAAACACTGATCACAACATCCAAGGCTACAGCAGATTTGATTCAATGGAGCAAGGTACAAGATTAAAAAGAAAGAAAAAAAGTACGTGCTTTCCTACCTAGGAAGACAAGGAGGCACATGCTGATTGCCAGAATAGAGCCAGAGCTGAGTCCAACAGGTCTTCTAGCCTTCACCTGGCTAATTTCACACCATCTTCCCTTGTAACCTTCGGGGCACTGGCAAATAGTCTTATCTTGGGATTGAGCCACACAGGTACCCCCATTCCTACAGGTCCAGTGTCCACAAGGTGATGAGGTACAGTGTCTGAGCCCTGTAAGGTTGTCAGTCACTTCTACTTTCCCAGCTGGACACCTGAACAACAAAAGCAGAAGATACCTTTTAGGCAAGCAAAGCACCTGGAGTTGTATGTTATTTTTGCAAAAGTTTGTTACTATTTCCTTAAAGCCAATAATTAAAGTCTTTTCAAGCAAACCATAAATCCACACTGAGAGTATGAAATAGATGTAAACTCTAACATAGTGAGCTATAGGCTTATGAAAACATGAATGTATGTTCTGCTTTCCCTATCCAGAAGATATGCAGAAGAACTTCACTCCTTCCTTAAAAAAGGGATCTGTCAGCTTCTGAACAGACTAACCCTTTTTCTACAGACATGTTCAAAATCCCTAGAAGGAAATGGATGCCTGAGATCAACGGGATCCAGTATAAGCTTTGTAAAGTTCATCTGGGCCTTTGGGAAAGAGGTGCCATTGACCTCCTCAGAATGACGATCTTGTCTTTTAGGACTTTAGTTGGAAAAGAAAGTGATCTCTTCTGAGATACAACTGGAGAGGCTGTGCAGTAATGCTGTGAGGAGCACACACCTACTTTCGCAATCCATAGAAGAAATACTAGTGAATAAATGGAGGAGCCTTCATATTGTTCTTTCACAAGTAGATGGAAGAAGGGAGTGTCCCAAGGCACACTTAAGACCATCTCAGCCTCTTTCAGCAATGAATCACTAGGCCTCAGAAGTGCCAAATTTTGGCTGAATTGAAGGAATGCAAGTTGCTCCTTCTCCCAGTCCTGCATGTGTGTATGCTTGGGGTTTTTTTAACAGAAATGCCTGTATTTTGATTTGTATATTTTAATACAAGTTTTGAAAATTTTCTATAAAGAGTGGATCTTCTCTAAGGAACTAACTGTTTAGGATACCACCTGGTAGGCTTTGGTTCTGGCCTTGGGCAGCCAATTTTAAAATCCAGTTTTGTGACAGTCTAATTCTGAAAGTCTCATTGCTTCATATAAAATATGATTGATTTCAACTTCTTTACAGAAAATATATGTAAATATATATTGTATATGCAACATGGATTTTTTATATATATACACGCTATATATATGTGCTATATCACAATATAGATATATATTCACACAGAGGAGAGACCAAAGCTTTTGCAGTACACCTTTTATCAAAGGGTATTTCACTTCCTCACTGGCCTGTGATCTTCTCACCATGGAAAAAAGGCCGGAGTAAATAGGTTCCATATCAGACTTGCAGGAAAAGGGAAGTTTGGCCCATGGTGGGAGATGGGATGGAGAGCAGGATTTGTTCTTGGGATGTCCCTCTCTGGCCAACAGCAGCAGGAAGTTTCACTGTTAGCAAGTTACCTGAACTAAGATAGTATGAAAGAGCTTCCCAACCATCCCTGGATGAAAACAAAAGCTTAATGTACCGGCATTCATATTTTCTCCACAGGTCTACACAAAGGAAAGGGCTGTAACAGGGCTGGCTGCTGCAGGCACTGGAATGGCATCCCATTGTGACACCTTGCCGCCTCAGAATTAAGCCAAACTCCGTGCTTTTGCCCTCCACGAGAAGCGGCTGACCATTCAGCTGGACATCACGCATACAACCTGCATCAAAGCAGGGGAGTACACAGAGAAATACATTGAGTTAGCAACTACCCCACCTCAAGCCTTGCACCCAATACATATGCAGGGGATCTTAGAGCATTGTAAAAAACTTAAAATATTATTTTAAAAGATCCGTACACTGCTTATCAGTTTTATTTTAGAAGAAGAGCTACAGGACACGTGCCTATGTGCCCTGGCCAATCTGCAGATTGGCAATACTTCTCCAGGACAGCTTGGTTGTACCAATGCAATGATTTAGCATTACAGTGCTATGAACAAGAAGAGCTCCACTAAATTAACTTAGATTTAAAATATAGTCTTAAAAGTGTGGCTGAATGAGAAGCAACAGAATGGAAAAAGCTGTCTTCTGTTGAGCCATGACCTCTAAGTCCCAGCACCCCATCCCAGGAAATGGACAGCGCCTTCCAAATCCTTCTCCTATGAGGAGGTGTTGTGTTGTGCTCCTTAAACCCTTACAAAGCAAAAATGGAGTGAAGATCACAGCATGAGTTCCCTACTTGGGGCCTCTGGAATGGGAAATAAAGATCTATAGTGCTATCTTTCAATATCTACAGGAAATCTTACATCTTCACCAAGACCAGATACAATGGCAAACAGAGAGTTGAACATTAGTTCTGAATTCCCTAGCAGAGGCAACAGGATTTCATGGGCATAGTCGTTGCCGTGGGAATTCTTACCTGGGTTTTAGACTCTCCAATACACTCCTAGATTCCCCTTTTAGCTTCAATTCCCTAATTTTGGGAACTTATCATATCACGTACCTTGGAAATCACTCTCTGAATGATTGGGAAGGCGGTTTCCTAGGACAATGGTTGTCCAATCCATTTCAAACCATCTATTTGTACCCAAGACAGAGGTCACTTCTTGATCACCTCCACCGCCGTTAACACGCAGGGTAAATTCATTGTTGTAGCGCTCCATGGTCAGAAGAACCCACTGGCCATTGTTTATACGTAATGTACTCATTCTCAGAGAGTGATTTTTGTCCCCCAAGCTGAAGTTAACACTAAAGAAACCCTCAACCACCTAGAAGACAACAATAAAGATATTTAATAGCAGAAGTGCACTTCTAAATGTTATTACACTGTCCTGACTTAAGAAATGGACCTGAGTTTTTAAACAACAAGAGTACCACTTCCATTTAAGTGCTTTATTCACAGATAAAAATTACCACAAGAATATGAAAAGTCCAGGGATTATCAGCTTTTTTCTTTACAGGCCACCCTCTCTTCTAACTCACATGAACCTTTTTATCAATCTTCTCCCTATTGATGTCTATGTCCAAGTCTTCCCAGCTGACCCTCCTGTTACACCTGGAATAATTAGCCTCTCTCTGGCTAATATAATCCAGACACCTTTTTAAAAAAAAAAACGTAGAGACAAGTTTTATAGCCAGAAACAGATAGAAGCAATGGGAAAAGGCAAACAGGACAAAACAATCTTCCCCATTCAGGTGTATCACATGCACTCATTCACCTGTATTTTTTGCAGTGAGACAGCTAGAATCTATGCTATGAAAGGGTAATACTGAGAAGTACAACACAAATGAGAGTAGTTACCCTCATGCGGAAAATTCTTGCTTTATATTACATTAAAAAAATAGGTGTCCTTAATCAGAAACTGCATCTTTTTCTCATATTGGGGTACTCCATGACAAGTTAAGAGCACTGGAACAGAATGGCTTTTGGACTGCTCACCTCCAGTCGGATGTATCCAGTCCAATCTGCAGAGGCCAAGCTGAGAAGGGTGCTGTGGGATATACGGGTGCGCACCATCAGCTGGATCTGAGTGCTGTGAGTGCTGGGGATGCTTCTCAGCTCATAATGGATCCAACTGTCCCTTCCAAAAGCCCATTCTGGAAGAACTAAGTACAACACATACAAAACCAAAGCAAAAATCTCAGAAATTACTGCTCCATCATACATACCATCTTACTGCTTGAGAATTAACCAATTCTGAATGTCAGAATTTTAGTTCTTAAGAAGCTTTGACAATGTAATGAAGCATCATGGAAAGCAGACCCCTCTCCCCAAGGGAATTAAGAGAGAAAGAAACAAAGGATACAGAATTTAGGTGGGAAAGGGGCAATTAGAGAATGTCTCTAACATTCTGCTTGTTACAAGCTACATGTTCTACCCAATCACTCCTACACTGAGTCAAATAAGTCTTTTTTTCTGAGATCTGAAACATCTCTTCCAGTAAAGTAGTTGGTATTGATCTGAAGACAAAAAAATAAGAAGCTAATGTTTCTTTCAGTAGTTTAGTCCTGTGGTTAATAACCCTCACTGTTAGAAAATATGCATTTTACTTCCCATTTCAGTTGGCACAAGAGAAAGCCTGGGGTCTGGCACAGAGTCAAAAGTTATAATATGTAATTTTTTTAATTACAAAGAGAGATTAAGTCAGTGTTCATTATCTTAACCAGGGAAAAAATTAATTCTTTCCCCATCATCCTGGGGAATCCATCTGAGAGGCATCCAGCAGAGAGTGTGATGAAGTTGCACTGCACACTTTTGTGGAAATCAAAAAGCACTAAACCACGCAGACCCTGGTACTCTTATGCAGCAGGCACCCATTTCAGTCTCTCTACCTGACAGCAATCCTAGATCTGCTTGTTCTGGGCACAGCTTAGTTGAAAAAAGAAATTTCTTCTTAGCAAATAAAGATATAGTCCAAGTTAGTGACTAGACAGGAAGAACGCTGGGTCACCAACAGCTAATCTAAAGTCAATGTCACACCAGTAGAAATCTAAGAACTGCCCAGCTGATACTGGGGCACTTAGGCTGGTTCCCAGGACATGAAATATCAAATGATCAAGAGACTTAATTTCTGCACTCTCTCTTCCCTTCACTGTTTCTCTTCTCTCTTTTCTTTCTTAAAGCATATTTTCTTTTCTTCTCTAGCTTATTCCTTTCCTATTATTGTTCTTAGCCCACTGTTCTCTCATGTCCACCATCTCTGCAGCTACAGGCAGATGAGCAGGGGTAGATTTTCTTGGGACACTACAGTGATTCTTATCCCCAGCTGTCTGCTCCTTCCTGCTCAGCCATTGAGAAAGCGTCAGCTGAACACCAGCATTTTGCAGCCCAATATATTAGAAGAAGCTAGAAACAATCAAAGTTTTCCTTTCACATCAGGATATGACTTATGGATTTTGAGTAATTACTTTCTGACCACTTGGTTTGTCTACAGTGGTGAGGGGTAGGAGCCAATACAGCAGCTGGGCTTGTGAACCAGCATCCCAAGATAATGCAAAACAGAATAAGATTTATATCTAGACAAATATTTATAAACCAGTATCATCTGTATGCAAAAAATTAATACAAATTACTGAACTATATTAACCATTTCTGTGGTCATTATAAACACTTTAAACAGTGAAGGCTCCAGGCCTAGAAGTGCAAATTACAGTTCTAGTCCTCACCCCGTTGGACAGACGGAGCTTCTGCTGAGTAATTTACTGTCACACCTTTTAAGTCTTGTGTGGCAGGAGGAGAAAAGAAAAGAGGGTCTGGCTGCCTGCATAGGGTACTGTTGTTTCATATACAAGAAGGAAAAGCAAGCGCATAGAGCTGAAAGGAAATGTGTAATACACCACCAGTCGTGTCTATGAATCATTCATTGATGAATCACAGTGATTCGATGCTAGCTCGCCTGTGCTCCTTCCCAACTGCTCACTGCTGCTCATACTCACCTGTACCGCACTCAAACTACAGGACTGAGAGGTCTAATTCTCTTCCAACACTACACAAGATCCTCAAAGTTATGGGGCACTGGTGCTCATTACAGACCATTCTGATCAACCCCATCACTAGTATTTTGTACACAGAGGGAGAAGGCAGATATAGGGAAAGTAAAGTCCCAATAAACATCTGTAAGTCACTACTGATTTCTGCTTGAGAGCAATGGCTGCTGAAGGTATTAAGATAGGGAGGACAGAGCCAACGTCAGGTGTGTGTCCCCTGTACCCTGAACTAGGCTGTGGGATACTAGGAGTTAAATAATTTACTTCCTAAATTTTTGAATTGTGCTAAAATTTTGCACTTTATTACAACATCTCTGAGGTTTTCATTATCCACCCTTGCATGCTTTTGTTCTCCGATACATATATCATTCTGATTTTGTACAGGATAACATGTTTGCTGGAGCCAGCCTGATATTATGTCCTCACATGCACCCCTGTGGTCTAGGGGCATTGCACAAGCTTCAATTCATTCCAGTAACAGAGACAAATGCAATTATCCCCACTTTAAAGATGGAAAATTGGGCCTGAGGACTTGAGGGTTGGGCAGCCAGGTTTCGGAGAGAGAACACAGAATCATAGAATCAGAGAATAGTTTGGGTTGGAAGGGACTGTTAAAGTCAGCTAGTCCAACCCCCGTGCAATGAGCAGGGACACCTTTAATTAGATCGGGTTGCTCAGAGCCCCGTCCAACCTGATCTGGAATGTTTCCAGGGATGGGGCATCTACCACCTCTCTGGGCAACCTGGGCCAGGGTTTCACCACACTTATAGGGAAAAATTTCTTCCTTATGTGTAGTCTAAATCTGCCCTCTTTTAGTTTAAAACCATTACCCCTTGTCCTATTGCAAGAGGCCCTGCTAAAAAGTCTGGCCCTATCTTTCTTATAAGCACCCTTTAAGTGCTGGAAGGCTGCAA